TATTTATTTATTTATTTATTTATAAAAGAATAGCTGGCTAAAATGTATTCAGGTATACCTTGTACCTGGGTTGTCTCTGAAACTTCAAGAGATTCCAGGGAAAGCAGGTCGAGAAGCAATTCTGGTTCTACTGCAGTCAGCTCAAATTTGCTTATGGAACACTTGGTAAAAGAGGCCTTATACTGCTCAAGAGCCGGGCGGAGGCTTTCAATAAAGCCCCTGCTGTTCTTTAAATGAAGTTCAATGTGCTGTGAAGCTGAGAAGACTGCCATTAGGACCCTGAGCATCTCCTGGTCCACACCGTCACTGTCAGCCACATAGACTTTCAGAAGGGGAATCTTGTACTGCTTTGGAGAAAGTTGCCAGTAGCCAGTGCTGATGTCTGGTGGTGCATTGCGTTGCATATCCATAAAACTCCTCACGTTTTCTTCTTTTTCAGCTAAATTCTGCTCCCACTCATTCATAAGTTCAAAGACAGAAGCGCAGTCCTGATCTATAGTTGGTGCCTGTGATTTGTCTAAACATGTTTCCAGGAATGAATAATCCATTCTGGGTGACCTTTTTTTTCCTCTTATGGAGACTTGGATGCTCCTCAACAATAACAGGCTTTCTGGGTGGTCAAAAAAATACTGTAACTTAAGCACATCCAAAGTCAGGGTTTTCCCTTGGAGGAATTGCAAAATAAATGGAGAACATGCAGCAACAGCATTGCTTTGATAAGCAATTTTTAAGGCAAGAGCCAGTAAATGTTTTGAAACCAGAGAAAAGTAATCTTGTGGAGATAAATGCCGCAACATCCTAAATAATAGCACCTCCCTCTCCAAAATTTCCGGATGGTGCTTCAGGTTGCCATCATTTTCAAATATATTCTCCAATGACTCTTTATTATCCACCAAATGAAGCAAGTGAGATACAATTTTTGGCCCTGCTTTTGTTGAAGGGTAGCAGGAGATGTAATTCAAAAAGTTGTTACAAGGACTTACAATCATCATGGATGAGTTAATTTGTTTCAAATAATAAAGTCCCAAATCTTGATCTTCTTGCCTATCCGAATCCAAGAGTAAAATCAGCTTCATCCCAGCAAGAAATTCTTGGAATGCACGGTCTAAAAACTGATAGACTGGACTCAGTCTCTGGGCGGTGAATTTACTCATCAGGTACATGGTTAGATCTTCAGCTTCATCGACTCCTGCTTCTATAAGGTCATCGTCACTAAACTCAAAGCAAGATGAAAAGAACCCTTTTAAAGCCAGCTCACCACAGGCAGACACAGCTGCTTTGAGAAGTTCACCTGAAGTTTTGTGCTTTAAGGAAAGGCATTCCATATAGGACTTGAAAACAGCCACATCATCAAAGGACTCCCCAAAAGGATACTGAAACCAATAAGCACTGATTGCTGCTGCAAAAAGAGGAGTTTTCTGAATTCCCTGCAAACTTGAATTCACTCCAAAGTGAATCATGAACTTTTGCAGAAGGGACATATTGTGTGGAAACAACTTCCGTAATATATAGATAGTATTATAGAAGGGAAACACTTTGATCTCCAGAATCGTATCTAGGTATTGGCGGACGTCCCTGGCCCTGTTTGTATGGACAGCAATCAATAAACAGGTCCTTGATAAGTAGTTTTTTTGAATCAGTTTTTTTATGACTTGAGGGACTGAGCACATTTCTTTGTAGTCATCCAAAAGGAATAACACCTGATTCTTTAACTGCTGGAGGATACTCCTCAGACACATTTCAGTGACAGATCCTTCTGTCTCTAGGAGTTGGTCACAAATGATGTTGGCCAGCCCCTGCTCCAGTCTGGTAGAGCGAAGGGAGAGATAGAAGACCAGCTGGAACCTGTTTAACAAGGGACAGCATCCTGATGCCCATAGAAGAGCTATTTTCTTCAGGAGGACCGTCTTTCCACTACCAGCTTCCCCCTCCACACACATGACAGAGTTCAGGTTGGCAAAGACCTCAGGCAACATCACAGGCTCTTGCACAGGAGTGCTGATGTGTTTTAAAGCAAGAGACAGATCACAACCCAGCAAACGGTCGGTGGCTAGACAGGAAGACACCTCAAGCCAAGACATGCGGCAGAAACTGGCATTGGTGTAGGCTTTTCTCAGTCGCTCACTCAGATTCTTTGCCTCCTGAAACCACTGGGCTTCACTCTGGGCTATCTCTGTGGAGAGAAAAAAAGGAGGCACAATTACAAACACTCTTTAAAAAACCCCTACATGCGAATATATATACACATACATATAACCCCATGTGCTACTTACCTGGCACGATAGAACTAACTGCTGCTGAATCTTTAAGGTTGCTTTCACTTGGGGTTTCCTTTGAAAACAAAATCCTCTATTAATAATCAAAGTTTGTATAAAAAGGTGGGGTTTCATGTTACAATTGAGAACCAAACATCTAAACACAGCCCACCCTTAAATATTTATGCCAATTGAAGGGAAGAGTGCTACAAATATGAAGTAATAAATGATATGCAGACATCTGTAAGTGTGGCTCCTAGGTGGTACACATACTGTGAATTTCATGCATGAGTCAAGTGGCAATTACTCTCCCAGTGATCAGAATCAGCGTCCAGTGTAACACAGCCCTCCAAAATTCATTAGATACAGCTTTTGACCTTAGTGGTTAACATTTTTAATATTACATACCTGGGATGTAGACAGGTTGTTTCTTCCTTTAAAATTAAGGTACTTATATATCTCCAAACTTTTTTTCAATTTCATTTTTCAGCTCACAAATATAAAATTTGAATTAAATAAATAGCAGGTTACTTTGTTTTCTTTCTGTGGAATAACAAATGTAATATACCTAACATATAACCTCTAATGAGGGGTGTGGTGTGTGTGTGTGTGTGTGTGTGTGTGTGTGTGTGTGTGTGTGTGTGTGTGTGTAATTGATAGTGGCTTATATCCCAGAGAACTATGAAGGATTTCTCAGTTTAAAGGAGTCAGCCTATTATTTAGGTTTATGATTTGGTTGGTCATTTGCTTTTGTAAAAGAAAGATAACTTTCCAGCCCCTAGAACAGCCAAGTAGCAAGTCAGTCCTTACTGTCCTCCAAATGAAGATCACAGATGGAATCCAGGCAGCCTGGATGCTAGCCACCTCTAAGTCTAAAAGAGTCTGAGCCCCAAAGTAGAAGGGATTGAGTCTACATTTCATGAAGCTGGATAATTATGTCTTGTTTATCGTAGTATCCCCATCCGCACCTAGCTCATCATAGGTGCTTAATAGATATTTGTAGGATTTATTTACATATTTATGATGAGCAACCCCTGTTCAAAAATAGTTTCAATCACATACTGCTAAAATAAACAAGATGGTGTTGTTCATTACCGTTAATTCAGAAAGTTCACCATGGCTCTGAAGGTCTGGAATCACTTCTGCAGAGGCCTTTATATTTTGGAGAAACTGACAACTAAGCACAAAAGTTAAAAGTTATAAAAATAGTTGTAGGCAAGTAAGCATATGCATCAGGTTTTTAAAAACACTGTTGGGGTTTTAATGAAAAAAATTAAATTTAAAATTAACGTTTCTAATGATTTGCTCTGTCAGTGTCATTATCAAACAAGACATTTATACGTGGCTCTTAGCAATAGAAATGTAAATGGTTTATAAATTAATGGTGGGGATAACCAGTGAATTTGGTGGAATGCGTACATATTGAACACTTATCCATGAAGCCAGCTAAAATGAACCTAAACAATTAAGAACAGAGAAGGAAACTCCATCTATGGATTCTGGAACACACAAAAAAAAGACATTAGTAGAAAAACTGGTGAAATCCAAGTAAAGTCTGGAGTTGATATTAATGTACCAATGTTGGTTTCTTAATTTTGAGAAGTGTACCATGGAAATGTAAAAGATGTTAATATTAGGGGAATCTGGGTATGGGAATATAGGAACTTTGTATTATATTTGTACCTTTTCTCTAAATCTAAAATTATTCCCAAATAAAAAGTTACAAAAAAAAAAACAACCTCTATCAATATGAAGACTAAAGAATGGCCACAAACATACTCTCCAAAAACCATTTGCCAGACATCATGAAACTGGATGTAAATACCTTCTAAATTCAGATATGATGTCTACCTGAAGAACCAAGGGAGAAAATTCCAAAGAGCTCTGCCCAAAATGATTAACTTGGATAGGTGAGAACTATAAATGTGAGTAGGTAAATGGGAAAACTAGGAACAACCAACTGACTTGGGCTCATTTTCATGCTGCAGAATCACAGGAAAGCAGGAGATAAAGCAAGAGGACACTCATTTTTATTTCCCTACATACTTGGAGGTGAGTCTAGGAATACAACGGTAGCTGCAGGAAAATGGCAAGTAGGACTTTTAATGTTTCTGTCCAAGGTTGCTATGCCGATAGACCCATCAAGGAAAAGGACTCTGAAGGAAAGTAAAATAGAGACGTTTTCATACAAACAAAGCCAATACAGTTATTTGCCAGCAGACCTGCACTATAAGAAATGTTCTTCAGTTAAAAGGAAAATGATAACAGATGGAACTCCACTTGGTTTTAACCAAAGGAATATAAAGAGTGCCAGGGATGATAACTAAGTGGGTAAATGTAAAGACATTTTTTTCTCGTTTTACAATGTATTTGAAAGATAATTTAAAGCAAAAATATTACACTATACAGTGAGATTTATAATATATATGGAAATAAAATATATGACAATAGCACAAAGGATAGGAGGGGAGAAATAGAAGTATACTGTTACAGAGTTCATACATTATATGTCAAGTGTTATAATATTATTTGAAGATGACTGTGATATGTTAAACATGCACATTGTAAATTCTAGAGCAGGCAGCACTAAAAAGACAAAGATGTACAGCTAATAAACCAATAATAGAGATAAAATGGAATACTAAAAAATAAAGAAGTCAAGGGCTGGCCGAGTGGCTCCTTGGTTAAGAGTTGGCTTGGGAGCGCGAGCTCTGAGCATCAGGGTCACCGGTTCAGATACCACATGGGCCAGTGACACTGCCCTTTACAGCTAAGATGGTGAACAACAGCTCGACCTGGAGCTGGGCTGCCGCGAGTCGCTGGTGACAGCGTAGGCTACAGTAGGGCTGCAGTGGGCTGCAATAAGCTACCGTGAGTGGCCTGCAGCCAGCGTGAGCTGCCGGGAGCCACCACGAGCGGCTGTCCAACAGCCAGCGACTGATCTGCCTCAGCCGGGAAGAGCGCAATAATAATACCAACATGGGCCAGTGAAGCAACATCCTCCACAACTAGACTGAAGAACAAAACGACAGCAACTTGTCTGTTCCCCTTCCCCCAATTCCCCAGCACTGTTCCCATCCCCCCAATTCCCCAATAAAAATCTTAAAAAAAATTAAATAAATAAAATAATAAAGAAGTCAGGAAAAGAGAAAAGAAAGAAGATATGGGATAAATAGCAAATAGCAAAATAGATTTAAATCCAAATATATCAGTAATTACATTAAATATACATATTCTAAACACTCCCATTACAAAGCAGATATTGTCAGACTTAAAAAAGCAAGATCCAACTATGTTGCCTACAAGAAACTCAATTTAAATATAAAGTCATAGGGCCGGCTGAGTGGTGTGTTGGTTGGGAGCTGGCTTGGGATGCCAGCTCTGAGCAGCAGGGCCCCGGTTCGGATCCCACATATGAGGGCCAGTGACACTGCCCTCTACAGCTAAGATGGTAAACAACAGCTCAACCTGGAGCTGGGATGCCAGTGAGTCGCCAGCGATGGCGTAGGCTGCAGGCCCTGCTGCATTGGGTTGCCATGAGCTACCGTGTGTGGCTGGCAGCCAGTGTGAGCGGCCGGCAGCTGGTGTGAGCTTCCAAGAGCCTCCATGAGCGGCCGTCCAGAGGCCAGCAACCAATCTGCCTCACCCGGGAAGAGTATAATGATAATACCAACATGGGCCAGTGAAGCAACGTCCTCCACAACTAGACTGAAGAACAAAACGACAGCAACTTGTCTGTTCCCCTTCCCCCAATTCCCCAGCACTGTTCCTGTCCCCCCAATTCCCCAATAAAAATCTTAAAAAAAAAAGAATAGAATGGATAAGTTACTATATATTCATAAAATAATACACTAGATAGCAGTGAAAACAAGTCAACCACAACTCTACACACAATTATGAATGAGTCTCAAAAACAATGTGGAGCAAATTATGTCAATCACAGAGATACCATGCAGTATGCTTCTATTTATTTACACTTCCAGAAAAGACAAAGTTCAATATGTTTAAGGATACATACATAGTTGGAAAAACCATAAAGTGAAGCAAAAGAATAATTAACCCAAAATTCAGGTTCATGTTTACCTCTGGATTGGAGGGACAAGGATATAATTGAAATTGGAGAGGGTATGCACACAGTGGCCTTCTAAGGCATTGGTAATATTCAATTTCTTAACTTTAGTGGTGGGTTTATTGGTTTCTTTTATTATTGTCCTTCAAATCATAATAAGTATTTTAGGTACTCCTTTGGAGGCATCCTAGTTTTTAATTTTAGAAAAATGGCAGAGGAAGAGTAAAAGCCACACAAAAGGGGAGTTGATATCATTCTAGAAAAAAACTTCTAAAAAAAATTAGACTGCAAAATTAGATACTGCATCCAAGCTTATCTTTCCAAGAATTAAGAAGAATGTCCCCACTGTTCTCAAGAATTTATTATATATTAAACCTATATTAGAAAAGCAACCACTTCTGTCAAAACTCCTTCAAAGCAGTGTCCTATTTAGAATCTTAGAATTAGACGGAAGTATTCATTTTAAGATCTGCATGTATGAATGAATATTTATTTCTGGAAAACTCTTACAAATTACAAAGTGAAAACAAATTTATTCTTGAAATTGAACATTTCTGAAGAGTTTGGTGGGTGAAAAATAAATAAACCAAAAGTGTTTAAAGATCCACAGAAAAAAATACTAAATAGCCATTTCTCATGAAATTTGAGAACACTTTGGAAACAAACAAAATCCTAAAAGCTTCCAGGAGGGGAGAAAGTAGTTTGCAATCAAAGGATTAAGAATCAGAAAGGCATGGAACTGTTCAACAGCAACACTGGAGGCTATAAGAAAATGTATCAATGCCTCTACAATTCCGTATTAGAATGACTTCCAAACTAGAATTGTACACCCAGCTAAACTACCAAACAAATGTGTGTGTGTGTGTGTGTGAGAGAGAGAGAGAGAGAGAGAGAGAGAGAGAGAGAGAGAGAGAGAGTGTGTGTATAGATATGCATTATACTTGTATACAAGCTAGAAACATGTATCTCTTGTGCAATCTTTCCCAGGGAACTGTGGAGGAGTGTTCCACCAAAATGAGTGAATAAACCAAGGAAATAATAACATTAGATACAGGACACAAGACCTACAACACAGGAGAGAGGCAGTAGTAATCCTTAGAATGACCATGAAGGAAGATCCCAGGATCCTAGATGACTATAGGATAAAGAGTTCATATTGGAGATGCCTTCGATAAAATGAAAATGATGGGATATCTTATCGATCCAAATGACTGGAGGAGAGATTTAAACAATTGGGAGAATTTGAACTAGTGCTAAAGACATGGAAAAAAAAAAAAGCCAACGGCTATAGTTTTTTTTAAAATAAATATTAATGAGGATATGGAGAAATTGAAATATATATATATAATATATATAAATTGAAATACATGTTAATATATTATACAATATATTTTATATATATTAAATATATATATAAATTGAAATATATATATAAATATATATAAATTGAAATATTTAAAAAGAATGAAATACTGATACATGCTATTACATGGATGAACCTCAAAACATTATGCTAAGTGAAAGAAGGTAGATACAAAAAGTCATATTGTATGCTTCCATTTATATGAAATACCCAGAATAGGTAAATCTATAGAGATAGAAAACAGATTGGTAGCTATAAGGAGCAAGAGTGGGGTGGGGAGATAGGGAATGACTGCTTAATGGGTACAGAGTTTTCTTTCGGGGTAATGAAAATGTTTGGAATTAGAGGGGGTCTTTGCACAACATTGTGAATGTACTAAATGCTACTGGATTATGCACTTTAAAATGGTTAATGTATGAATTTCATTTCAAAAAATAAAAAAGTAAGCAACGCACTAACAAGACAATAATTACTTTCTACAAAAATTAAAACTTGTACAGGGAGGGAAAATAAATCATAATTTACTACAGGTTCAGCTCTGCATAGCATTTATGTAGTCATAATATAAAATACATATAATGTAAAAATACTGATCTAACCAAAACTATGCTGTAACTATAATGAGAGAGGATGGCTAAATGGAAAGGGTATTATGAGAGCAAGGGGATAAAAGAGATAAAGACTCATCCTTCATCGTATGAATCAGAGGGGTGGGCAAAGATTTAATCAGAAGACCAAATGAGGAAGAAAATGAGGGGAAAATTGTTAAAGTACATCCAAACTCACAGACACAAAATATTCATTCCACTCACTTAGGAAAATGTTTGGTGTGATCTTCTAATGGGTCATCACCTTCCTCCCACTTTTCCGAACATCCTCCACAGAAAAAACACTGGATGATGTCCTTTATATCTAGAAGTAAGGAAATTTGATCAGTGCCACTGGCATGTTTATTTGTCAAGTGATGTGGGTAATAACCACCAGGCCTTTATTAGCAAAACTCTACTTACATTTCCAATCAGATTTTGTGACAAAGTCACTAGTTGGGTCACCTATGAGGCGATATTCTATACAAGACCAATGGTTTAATGAGAAATAGTCATGAATGCGCCTATGTATCGTGCACTTTGATGAACCCTCTCCCTGTCCCATCCTCCTCCCTACGGAGCAAAAGGTTTGCAAACAGAGTGTGGGATCAAAGCTCCACGAAGGAAGAGATTTTTGTCTGTTTTGGTCACCAATGAATCTCATGGACCTAGAAGAGTGCCTACCACTTATTAGGCATTCAATAAGTTGGGGTGTGTTTTTTTAAGATTTTATTGGGGAATCGGGGAAGGGGAACAGACAAGTTGCTGTCCTTTTGTTCTACATTCCCCTACTCTGTGCTGCTCTGTGATATCTACTTGACCTCTCAGTAAAAGATCTGCATAGACCGCCACTGTAACTTAGTTTGTGTGTTTGGTCTGAAGGTCAGCAAGGTACCAAGGAAGGACACAATATCCTTTCCCTGATTACCTTCCTGTACCGCCAGGAAGAGTTAGCTGAGGGGAACCAGCCTACTCTTCTTGGATTACAGAGTAGTACTTCCTGATGACCAGCAGCCAAAGAGAACACTATGAACTGGTGGAAGATTCTACATGCTTAGGAATCATTAAAAAAAGTATTTCTGATTTTCTCTTCTGAGAAGAGAGTGTCAAAGACTGCTTATCCATGCTCCCAGTATCTCTCCTTCTTCCATAGAATCAGAAACGCCAATTTTTAGCTGGGTACATTGCCATCCAGGAAATAGAATAAACGTCCCAGCTTCTCTTATAACTAACTAGGTATGGCCATCTGACTACTAAGTTCTGGTTAAAGAGATAGAAGCAGAAAGGTCATGTGACAGTTTCCAGGGGATGGGGTGAGGTGGTGGTGGTGGGGAGGAGAGTCAAGTATAGACAGTAAAACATGGTAATTATCCCAACCACAATACAGGTTTCCCCTGCTATCCGAAAGTACAGCATTCCTATGAAACCTTTCATAAGCTGAGATGGCAGAAAGTGAAGAAGCAATTACCTTAGAACACATCTTGCTAATGGAATCACAAAATAAGTCGAGATAAAGCACAGATGTTCATAAAGACAGTTCAAAGCTATGGAGGCTTCACGCTGAGATGCTGAATGTAGCTCTCAGGGAAGCTTGGCGGCACCCCTCTCACTGCTTGGGGGTGCTCGCTCCCTATATAAGGAATCACTACAAAACAAATGCTGAACACTTTTCGTTGTTCGCCTTTTTTCATAAAAACAAAAATCCTCTTCAGATTTCTTCTGTTAGTGAAAACAGGTACAGGTATGCCTCATTTTATTGCCCTTTGCTTTAATGTGCTTCACAGATGTTGCAGCTCTTACAAATTGAAAGCAAGATCTTCCACCAGCAAAAATATTATGACTCTCTTATTGCAATAGTTGCTTTATTGCAGGGGTCTGGAATGGAACCCGCAATATCTCTGAGGTCTGCCTGTACTAATGGATGTCTTAAATAAAAATGAAGTGGTGTAAAGCAGACTTTTGAAGTGAGCATACCTATACTTGTATTCATTGTTAGCCCAGACCTTAAGGTTTCAAGTTTGGAGCTTCTCTACCTAAGGGAGGTGTGGAAAACTGGGAGAGGATTTCTGATACCGCAAGGAAAAGGAATATATAAAGAAAGATTGAAAGAGTGGAGATTGTTGAGACTAGATAAATACAAAGCCCAGGATCGTGAAGTATATGCATGCTTTAAACGAGCAGCAAGGCAAGAGCTTGGCAGAAACTACTGGCTCACCTGTGTAAAAGAGCCTGCTTTGGCCAGAGCTGTAACTCCCATAGGGGGAGCCTGGGGCCAGTTCTTAAACGAGTCCAGTCCTAGTTCTTCATTAGCAAAGATGCTGTCATTGCAATGAGCTTGAATAAAAGACGTATGGTAAGACCAAGTTTTCATATTGCAAGTATCCGTGCTCAAGTTATCCTTTCATATTTACAGATAGAATGATATGATGGTTGGGGTATGCTTCAATATAATTGGAGGAGAGGTAAAAAAGAAGAAAGGGGTTTAGATGAAGCAAGCTTGACCACGAGTTAAATTGTTGAAGCAGAGTGGTGGGTATGTGGTGGGTATGTATATACTATTGTCTTACTTCTGTATATGTTGAAAATTTTCTATAATAAAATCTTTAAAAATTATTTCTTAATTTAACATCAGAATAAAACCAAAAACAATTAGAGGAGACTCGCTTCCCAAGATTTGAAAAGAGGCAAATTTTCCTTGTAGCTCCCTTAAAAGCAGGCAGATTTATTTCTTGCCCTTTGGGGTGTCCACTCTATGGACTGACTGGTTTCCATTAGACTTCCCACCTTGGGTGGGTCTTGGGGTTTGGCTCCTGTTGTCTGCATGCTATAAGGACTTTAAAATTAAACTTATGTTAACTATAGTTTCTGCAAATTTTCTAATTTTTTTCGAATTTTTTCTAATTTCTAATTTCTAAAGCTTGCTTCAGTGTTCCACTTAACCCCAGGATTTCTGCCATCACTTCATTGTTAATCTACATATACTTAATATATTGAGGAAAACCTCAACCTTTTCCTCCTGTGTGTCTCCTTTACTCTCACACTACTACCACACTCACAACACCTCTGACACCAGCTTGTGGGGGTTTTCCCCCATCAAGCAATTCTCTGACGCCAGCTAGGTGTCCTACAATTTAACTCAATTCTGACACTCTCTACCTAGAGACAGTGTCAGACCCCACAGGCTAAGGGCTCAGTCCCACAGGCGTGCTCCCACTCCACTTCATTTACTGGAGTGGCTCACAGAGCTCAGAGAGACTTATGTTTACTAGTTTATTAAAGGATATGGTAAAGGATACAGATGAACACCCAGATGACGAGATACATACAGTGAGACCTGGGAGGGTCCCGAGAGCAGGAGCTTCCGTCTCCATGGAGTTGGGGTGCGTCACCCTCCCAAAGTGGATATATTAACGTGCCTGGAAACCCCACAAACCCTGCACTACTGGGATTTTTATGGAGGCTTCATCATGTAGGTATGATTAATCATTAACTCCATTTCCAGCCCCTCTCCTCTCTCTGGAGAATAGGGGGCAAGACTGAAAATTCCAAGCTTCTAATCATGGCTTGGTCTTTTTAGTGACCAGCCCCCATTCAGGAGCACACCCAAAGTCACCTCATTAGAACAAAAGATGCTTGAATCGCTCAGGAATTTACAAGGGTTTTAGGAGCTCTGTGCCAGGAACTGGGCAGAGACCAATATATATACATTCTATTATCTCACACTTAGTTTCTTAACAGATACAGGTCCATTTAAGAATGCTTTCAAAACACTTTTATCCAGAAATTTTAATTGTTTTAGGGGAAGTGTCAGTCAAGGACCCACCCTGCCATATTTCCCTATGCTCATTTATGCTAAAAAACTAAGTCACTCCAGAAGACCAGAAATCTTATGAAAAAAAATTTTTTTAATGACTATGGCACCATAAAATGAGGAAGAAAATGTAAGGGTTTTGGGCCGGCTGAGTGGAGCATTGGTTAGGAGTTGGCTTGGGACGTCAGCTCTGAGCAGCAGGGCCCTGGTTTGGATCCCACATGAGGTCCAGTGATGCTGCACCCTCTACAACTAAGATGGTGAACAACAGCTCGACCTGGAGCTGGGCTGCTGTGAGTCGCCGGCGACTGTGTAGGCTGCAGTGGGGCTGGCCAGCAGCGGGCGTGAGCTTTCGTGAGCTGCCATGAGCTGCCGTGAGCGGCTGTCCAATGGCCGGCGAGCAACTGCCTCACCCAGGAAGAGCACAATGATAATACCAACATGGGCCAGTGAAGTGTCACCCTCCACAACTAGACTGAAGAACAAAAGGATAGCAACTTGTCTGTTTCCCTTCCCCGATTCCCCAATAAAATCTTTTTTCAAAAAATGGAAGGGTTTTTTAAAAAAGGATGAGGACAAAAGAAAAGCAAAAGAAGAAACAAATAAGCAAAGGCTTTGGAATATGTCTGAGCCTTTACCTGACGCCATAGGTAAATCTCTCTTGATCCAGGAATTCACAAAATGTTCCCCCTGAAGGAAATTAAAATTCAAGTTATCAACTTTGACTTGGACTTTGACTCACCAATCTATGAATAAAAATGGAAAGAGCCCCTTCCCAGTGAAGAATTTCATTGGATTGAGTGACAGGGTTGTTGGAGATCATTCCTTTAATTTTTATTTCTATTAATGTTGGAATTTTTTTATGCAGTGCAAAAGAAATGAAAAGAGGGCTGGCTGAGTGGCGCGTTGGTTAAGAACTGGCTTGGGATGCCAGAGGGCCCCGGTTCAGATC